TTATTACATTATGATCATGGAAATATTTTTTGATATAAACGCAAAACAAAATTACATTATGATATACCTTTTTTGATACAAGCATTAAGTGTAATTTCATAATGAGATAAACAATTTCTGATACAAAAAACAATGTGCTTTTTTCATTATGATAGAATCGTTTTGTGATATTAACGTTGTTGTCTTGTTTGATTGGGCTTTATGTCGCACCCACACAGTATATGTCATATGGCGACGATCCAGCTTTACTGGAGGAGGAAGACCTCAGGTGCTCTCCCGTGCATTATTTCAAGCACGAACGGGCACCTGAGTAGAACCACCAAGACTTCTCATATGAAAGAATCTTAATCCCTGTCGAACCCACAGCGGTGAGGGGCAAGTGGTTCGAAGTCAATCGACCTTAACCACTCGGCTAAGGACGCCCCAGATACAATATCTGATATACACGCATGGTGTAATTACATAATGATAGAACTTTGGAATTGAAGCACGCGTTAGGAAAAATAGAGAGAAAATTTATCAAGTTAACAAACGCTAGCTATAGCCATTCTTTAGATTGTGCTTCCTTCAAATACATGTTTTAAATTACATTTTGATACATTCTTACTCACATATGTACGTTTGATATTAATACAATAAAATAAAAAACAAATATACATAAAAAATGTTTACTTCAATATAAGCAATGGTAGAATCTTAACATTGTGATGATAGAGACTAATTCATTCTATACGCCGTCATCCTATTGCAGTAACGGGTTAACATCTATTATATTCAGATGAACTTTAAATCGTTACTGTACTAAGGTACTCGTATTAATCATTATCATTGAGAAAACACTCATATCATACGTATGAGATTCAGTTAATAAAATGACATTTTTATTCAATATTTAAAAATTATAGTCATTTCAAATATACAAAACAGTTCAGGAATGCCTAGAGATTTATCTCAAAATTTATATTGAAAAGTTTATATAAACCAAATGCTCTTTTTACACCCTTTGAACAAAAAGATTTCAGGATAATGCCCTATATATAAACTTTAAAAAATATATACCTGAATGTTTGTGTATAAAGTACGGAAAGCTCGTGACACCATGGAATCCGGCCGTGTAACAAGCCAGAAGGGAGAACTGAACCAAGCTCCATCGAGCATTAACCAAAGTTGGTTCATTGCCCGGTCCGCTACACTCCGACATTCTTTATACACCAAATATTATTTAAAATCCAAATATATTTGTCACCGTTTATAGAAAACCTTATTCACTAAAAGCTGACGTAAAGAATTCCTGTAACTCGGCGCTTTGCGGCAGCCGTAAACGAATACTGATTTTTCAAACTTAAGTCAATTTTTTGCCTATAGGAAAAAACCAACAAAACAATATAAAATCAATATCATGAAACAATTAATGCATTTTTATCTCGTCATGATTATCACTTGCTTCACATCGAGGTTTCTCATTGAAAAATATTTTCCAATGGCTGAAACTCTACAAGAATTCACCAGCATAATGTAACTTTATTGAGTTATATTAGAAACCAATAGCTTTTAGAGTAGAGTTAGCGAGATCGATACAGTAAGACGCGAGGGGATTTTTTCCCCTGCCTGATAATACCAATGCAGGCTGCAGGAACTTTGTCATAATCTTAAATCTAAAATAAAAAAATGTGATTACTAGACACATTGCACGAAATATTCGTGCTCTGCTATACGTCTTCATGTATGTATATATATGTTAATTAACAGGAAGAGCTTTTTTGCTCTACAGACGTCCAGTTAGATCAATAGGTAGAGCTTTAGACTGTGAATCGGGCGACCTGAGTTCAATTCCCGGACGGCGCAGTTCACTTTCGTTGTGATTGATCACGAAATCCTTTCTACGGTGATTCGCACTGTGAAGCTCTGCTCTGGCATGTACAGAAGTTATAAGTTCCTTGCGAAAGTGAAGGCAGCTAGTACTGTTAAACTGCTTGACAGCCTGCCCAGGAATAATGCGGTGGTTGAACTGTGCTCTGGTAAATTCAATGTGACTTACTGCCGTGATCCGGAGTGAAAACTACCAACACCACATTTTTTGTTCTACCTGGTGTCATTGAAAGTGCAATACTTTCGATTTTGCTGCTCATTTTACATTTACTGAGCTCATTTTATATACATGGTAAAATTCTATATAATTGCCATATAATCTTCATATGCAAGAATGGGTAAATTGGCATAAAAATGCTACCATCTATTTTCGTTTTTATTTTAAAAATTGGTATAGTTTCCTGGTAAATGCCAAGTCTTATGAGTATTTTGACTACATCATTACAAGAAAATTAAGTTCTGCACTTACGAACCGTTAAATAATATACTCATTTATTGCTTGGTTTTATAAATTGATGGGTCTGCAAATTTGGCTGCAAATGTGTTTCGTTTGGATATGTAGGCGTGCTATGCCATATGCGGTGTGTAAAAAATTGCTCTTGGGTCATAGGGAGCTTATCCCCAAAGACACTTATCTATTTAATTGCCAAAGGGTCAGGTGCCCCTTTTTTTGCATTATTTTAGGGGGACGAACGGGCACCCCAGAGAACCCCCCAACTTCCGTAAAACTAGTGGATGCTTCCCCACATGAAAAAATCAAAGTCCCTTTTGGGGTTTGAACCCCCTGGGGAGGGGCAAGTTTGAAGAAAAGACCTGACCCCTCGGACAGAAAGAACTTGATCAAATGCTACACCCAAAAAAAAGTTATATATTTGATAAAAAATTTTAAAAAGTGGAGCAAATAAAGAAAAACACTAAACACTGGTTAGTTTAAGATTGTTTATAAATGCTGACAATAAGAAAGTTTTTACCACATGAGCCTGAATCAGGATCATTTAACTGTAAAAATATAGTGTAAAACTTAAACGTGCATAAAACAAGAGTGTCATTATTGTCCTTAATCGCTCACTACAGGATATGGTCTATATTGACTAGATTTTATTACCAGGGCATTCCTTGTTAAAAATATCAGAACATGTAAGCAAATTTATTATTAGGCCCATTATGCCTCAGAAATGCTATCATTTTCTTTCCTCATAACCTTTAATCTTTTCAAATCATTTGTGACATAAATGAAATATTTTTGCTGTGTTTGCAATTGGTAAAATTATAGTGAAATACTACATTGTGTTTTGTATGGAAGTCAAAATACTGTTTTGCTTACATTTTGCTACCTTTACGATGAATGACTTCACATTTAGTGCTACTTTCTTTAGTTGCAAAACATCTTTCATGCTCTAAATCCATTATCAATTCATTATTAACGCATTTTGAAATTTCTAAACTATTAAAAAATATGGATTTCTGAGGCATAGTGTGCCTTTAATGACTACCTGATGATCATTGCTGTACAGTTTCATCAAAATCTACCGAGTGGCTAAGCATGAAATGTTGCTTAAGTGTGTCTATCTTTAGCTCTGGAGGCCATTTTGTTTTGCAAATTGCGACAATATCACAAATTCACATTAATCACAAATATCATTAAAGAACCACCTTAGGATCCCTTTTGTAGAGTTTCATCAAAATCTTACATGGGACTGAGAAGTTGATGTCATTCTAAAATTAGTTCTACTTTTAGCACTGGTGGCTTTCTGGTTCAGCAGACTGGAACCATTTGAGCAATTGCAATGGATGACCTAAGTGTCATTCCTGTATAGTTCAGAGACTATTGGCCAAGCAGTTTAATAAAACATAATTGATTTGTAACTTGGAAGTTAGCCAAACAAGAGGGCCAAGATGGCCCTAGATCACTCACCTGTCCCAAGGTGACCCAAATTCGAACTTGACAACAAACTTTTAGACCATTTTCCAGGATATTTGGATACTAAAGTGAGATTTTTCTATTTTTATCCCCTGTGACTTAGTTTTCCATCTGAAATGAGCCATGTTCTAACTCCTCCCAGCAATTTACCTAGACAAGCATCCTGACAAAGTCTGATGATGATTGAGGCAAAATTGTGACCACTAGAGAATTAACAAGGTTTTTCAATATTTGGGTATTGTGACCTAGTTTTTGACCCAAGGTAACCCATATTCGAACTTTAATTAGAAATCATTAAAACAAACTTTCAGACCAAATTTAAGGATATTTGGACCAAAACAGTAGCCACTAGAGTGTTAACAAGATTTTTCTATTTTTAGCTCCTGTGACCTAGTTTTTCATTCATGATGACCCGTGTTCAAAGTCATCCGAGCAATTACATAGACAAGCATCCTGACAAAGTTTCATGATGATTGAGGCAAAAATGTGACCACTATAGTGGTAACGAACAAATGTTGACGGACAAGGGACATTTAACAATCCTTAAAGCTCACCCTAAGCTAGCTCAAGTGAGCTAAAAAAGTCATCTGAAGGTTCAATAGAATATTCAAAGTATATTACTCTTCTTTTGAAAATACAAAAATGCCATGAATGTTTATAAAAATTTTTTTTGCGTTGCTTTACATAACATCAAACATGTATAGGATTCTTTAATAAATACTTCATTACGCAGCAGTATCATCAGTAATATTTATAATACTGGATGTTTGTAATGTCAATTTTTATTGGATAATCATGATGTTTATATAATCTATATATACATTTGTTGCATTTATTAAGTAATTTTCATTCTTTCTTAAATGAAGGATAAAGTTATATCTAATGAAATATTCTTATGAAATTAACAGTAAAACAATGTTATTTTCAAAACACAATAACTTTGTGAACTAAAGGCTGCTGAAAATACACAATCACGTACGCTTGTATATAGCTTTAAACACATTAAATAAAGGAACTGCGCTGTATTATATTTGCTATAATTTTTTGACAGGTTATGTAAGTGTTATATAAAAAATGTCAAAAATATAACCCTCTCCTAGCAACTTTGGCCAGTATAAGTTATATAACCTAAAAATATATAACCTAACAAATATATAACCTTACAAATATCTTTACAACAACAAGTAATAAAATACAACATAAGTCAACATTAGGGTATAAATTTTTTATAAAAATTAACAAAATAATGTAAATTTAATACTATATTACAAAATAAAATATAATAACAACATATATTCTAGAAGTCTATTAGAATTATGCGATAACATATAAAGAAAGGTTTGGATATTTAACTTTGTTTCAATACTTTGTATTGTACATAACACATGCAACATTGTATTCTAAAATTTAACAAGAGCTGTTCGCAAGACATCACACTCGACTATTCTTAGGGCTTTATAGTAAGAGAAGTGGAATAACTCTATAAAGAGTTAACTCAGAGTTATGGGGCCTGTGCCCCTCATGTAAAATAATATCAGAGAATAAGTGTCCTATTCTTCAAAAAATCCCCTTCAGTAGTTTTGGAGTTATCAAATTGAATGCAAAAAACCTAACCAATGTAGGACAACAATGCCTGGGTGAGTACAACAGCTCTCCCTATTCTTCACTTGTCGAGCAAAAAACTAATCCGAACTAGACATTTATAACTTACATAATTTATATAAACATACATATACATTAAAAAAAAACATGCACAGATCAAATTTTCCAGAAAAGTTAAAGATCCAATATATCTTCATTGATCAAATCAGCTCTACAGAATTCCCCGGTATCGAGGTTCCTCGCCATTAGCTGGTTCGGAGCAGCGTTGGGAGTGGCATGTTTGTAAAACAGTCTTGGAATTGCACAATCCTGCAAAATTAAAAAAAATTATCATTAACTTTCTCCCTGTTAGTTTTTTTTAACACTTACCTCACTAAATATCTTATATGGTCTTGTCCATCTCTCAATCTGGACTAAATCATTCATCATTTTTATGGTACATTTCAAATGTGTACTGACTGAACATATAGTAACATATCAGCCAAAGCCTTTAAACACTTCCATTTGTATCAATAAATGTATCAACATCTTAAGAACAGCTGGCAGGTAATTTGAGCAACTAATGAAAGCCAATGAAAATAACAATAAAAATTGATTATTTTGGGGGGTTTGGGCTGGTTAAATATGGCACCAGCACTGTTAGTATCATATGACAACTTTCCAGCTTTACTTGTGCAGTAAAATCTTATGTGCCTATCCATGTATTCTGTCAGGCACCTGAGTTGAACCACTGATGGTTAGTACACCAGCTGGATAGCTTCCTTACATAAAAGAATCTGAAGTCACTGGTAGGATTCTACTGACAGCGGTCCAAGATTGGCTGGCATATCTGCACTGTCTCATCAAGGTCTGTGCATTTTTTTCCCACAAATCAGAAAGGCATAGGCCTCTTCATAATTAATTCAAAAACGAAACAATCCTCTATAATTAAAATCAAGAGCTGTCTGTAGGGCAGCGCGCTCAACTTTTCTCAGTTCTTGACAGTAAAAAAAGAGCACAAGGAAATTTTCTAAGATTAAAATGGGGCATAATTCTATCAAAATACATGCCAGAGTTTGGGGCCTTTGATAGTGACCTTTTATTATGCTCTAAAATAAGTGTGTGAAGTTTCAACCCATTCCCTTCAGTAGTTTTGGAGATACCAACTTGCACATAAAAACTTAACCGAATTGTGACACAAACGCTCTTCCTATTCTATGAATAGCCAAGCTTATTAAAATAATGTTTCTTGTTTTACTTACCACAAGATAGCGTATAGATGTTGGTGAAATCTGAGCACATCCATTTAAATAAATCTCTTCTAAATAATGGCAGCTATTGGCAAGAGCAAATATACTTTTGTCGGTAACATTGAAAATTCCAGCTAGAACGAGGAATTTTATTGGACAGCATCGGGCAAGTTCACATACACCTTCATCTGTTACCTAGACAACAGGATATAATTACAGTGAATTAAACATATCTATACAGCCGTTAGCAAAAATTTCATATCCAAAGTTTCAACCCGTAACCTGCTAAAATTTCCAAAATGGACTTTTTGATTTATGGAGGTATCAAGAACATAAAAGATCCAGGCTGGCCTAAAAGATCAAGGCTAGTCTAAAAGATACAGGCTGACATGGCTCTATATTGATGGCAAAGGAAATCATTACTGGTTCCAGCAAGTTAAGGGTAAATTTTTGATCCAGTTTAAAAAATTTTAAATATTAAAAAAAACAACAAAAAATAAGTAAATTCGTTGAATTTAGATCCCTGCTGAGTACTGGTTATTATAAACACAACAACTGGAGATATAAGACTTTATTTACATAAATTTATCACTGCATGCAAATTTTCTTGCCATATTGATGGTTGCCATAAAGTCTGTTGAAATCAATCCAGCAGTTAAAAAGAAATAGCAATATTGCTCTATATGCATATTGCACAACTTATCAAGGGCCATAACTCTGTCTTGAAGGTCTGACCGGAACAATACAATGATATACTCATCTCCCCTTGGAAATGAATGTTCCACTGAAGTTTCATTGAATTCCAGCCAGTACATGCAGAGAAATAGCCAGGAAACGATTATTGCTCTATATGCATACTGCATTAATCAATAACTCTGTCTTGAAGACTCCTCACTTTGGGTTTCACCATAAAAAGGGTTAAGATATTTGACTTAGAATTATATTTATGATAAAAATACAAACTTTAATCTTTTAAGTACCAGTGGTTACTGTTATAATGCTTAAATTTCTAACATTTTGCCAGAAAGCTTTAATCATGAAATTAATTACAACCACCTTTACCTGAAAATTTGCCTCCCCCTCCTTAAATAGAAAATACATTGCATGAAATATTTTTATTTACCTTCCTGCAACTTTTGATGTTAAGTTGTTCCAGTTTCGGGCAGTTTTTGGCCAGCAAAAACAGAGTTTCATCACTAACAATACCTAGACCCGCTAAATCTAGCTTCTCTAGATTGTGACATGACTTACACACTTCACGTAGCAAGTCAGAGTCCAGCTGTAACAAAATATCAAAACAGATTTGATTTAAACATATTTATTTTAGCTTGATTGTGAAACAAGTTCTTCACTTTCGAGTTCGCTTCCTCAAACCAACCAGTACTGATGTCATATGAAGAAACATGGCTCTGACCAGAGTAGGGCTCGAACCAATGATCTCTGGTTTGAGAGGCAGACACCTTAACCACTAGGCCACCACTCTCCTATTTTAAACCACAGAGGCTTGGGGGTCCTGCCCCCCCCCCCCAACACGTGATACGCCCCTGTAAACACTCTATCAAAACTATTTTAATATTTAAACACGAATGGGACATCTATTACAACGTTAAACTGGTTTTCAAACAATTTTTACATATATGAATAAAATACCATATACGGTTACCATCAAGTCTCAATAAAGTACTTTATTGAAAGAGGCATACCTTTCTATTGTTGCGCATTATATTTGTATAATATGAGGAGCATCTTTATACATGTATCTTGCATTGGTTATTGGAGATAAATGTTTCCTTTGATTTTATTTCGAAAAGATTACAGAGTTAATAAAAATAAAACAGATTTTAACAAAACAATTAACAATTACCATACCTCTTTAACTGAAAGAAAAATCTTTTTAAACTTTGAAGCCCTCGCTCGATCCTTGAAAATGGGCAGTAACTCTTTACATTTTAACTTTGGTAGTAGTCTGAATAAGAGTTCCTCTAGATTCGTACAGTGTTCGGTTATACTTAATAAACCTTCATCAGACAATTGATCGTTTAGACCTCCGCTTAAATCTAGCGAGGTCAAAGAGTGACCTATGTGTTGTAAAACCTGAAACAAAATGAGTAAGCTACATATTTATATTTATCACATACCCATGCTTAATTTGCGACTCCATAAAAATAGTATTGCACGGTCATGAATATATTTCTTTGGATGTAATTTGCTTAATACAAACATAAGAGTATTAGAGATGCCCTAACTGTTAGCATTACACTACAGGCATGTCAATGAAAAATTATTCTTTGGTAAAAACAGTGTTTATTTTGGGTATGTGATAAAATGCATATGATATTTGTGTAGCTTCAGTACTAAACTTATTGAACTTGTTGAATAAAATGAGGCTTGCATAATTATAAATATAATTTTTATTCAACTAGTTCAATAAATTTAGTATTGAACCTACACTTATTCAATATCCTCTGTATATATATTAGCTGTAAAAACCTACAGATCATTTTGAAAAACTAAAATGAGACTGTACAACACTTTTGATTCCAGGTGTCAAACTTTCGTGTTTTATATACAACAAAAGTATAAATTCCTTTTTCTGGTATTCATTATTTCACATCATATCAAAATCTTAAGTATTGCTGAATAAAATAAGATGTTAACAATTTCATGCTAACATAATTATTCATGATAACTGTTACCACGCAAAGTACATGTATCTTAAAGCAGCACACCTCCAGATTTATGTTAATTTCCATAAAATTTTGGAAATGTATTTAAAAGTAAAACAATGTTAGGTGAACAAATACAGTTATTTACATATTGCAGTCGCCACTTACAATCCACGAAAATAACCAAAAAGTGGTCAACATATGCAAAAACAGCCCTTACTGCGTTAGTAACTAATAGAAATATGGTGATAAAATACAGTCAAACTTGTATTAAGCGACCGCCCAAGGGAAACACCCAAAACGATTGCTTAATGAAAGGGTCTCTTAAGACAAAGCATGATAAAAAGTCAAAATTTATACACGACATCTTTCTTTTGCGGTGGGAATGTTTTCCAACTTCATTTATATAAATGTTGAATAATAAGTAAGCTCCAATAATCTAAACGGATGCTTATGTAAAAAATAACTTTATGATATTTATTGACAAAACAGTTTTGATCCATTACGTACATGTTTGACATTTCTCCAGAATTTTTTAATTGCTGATCAAGATCAAGGTCAATTCAATGCAGTCTAAATGTCAACAAGCAAAGCGTATACACCATCTAAGTAGGGCCATCTGTTGCATTGTTTATCTGATTTCATTGGATAATACACATCACGAGTATACTTAACTTCTTTTGCATACGCTAAAACGGTTTGGGAAATAGAGAATTTCACACATTTATTTGTTGTGTTTTGATTGTTGACACTTGTGACATTACGAGGCGGCGTTCTCTAAAAACACAATTACTTGACAGGTAAAAGTGGTCGTTTAATGAAAAGACTGATCTCAATTATGTGACTAATTGGCGGTCGCTGGTCGCGTTGAGCAAAAGTCGCTTAATACATTAAAGATATAGAGAAAAAATGATCGGGAGAGATTTAAAGTGGTCGTTTAAGAATACACGTGGTCGCATTGGCAAGTTAAGACTGTACTGCAAAATCAGTGTTAAACTGCACATAACATGTAAAATATTAATTGGATCTTGAATGTTTTTACCACCCTTAAAAGTTTAGTGCATTTTTCTCAATATTGATTTTCCTGAAATATTTTGGCTCATCTGGAGGTGTGCAGCTTTAAATGGGCATGTCCATCTTTCAGTTTGGACAAAAATTTCAAAATGAATACTGACTTCCATATCAAGCAGTGCAGGCAATCATTAGACCGCATCAAAAATCTTGGACTGCACTGGTAGCATGGGTGAAATCTGTTATTATCAGTAAGCTAAAGAAGTTAATTCTGTGCTGTCTGATCATGGTCTGCACTGTTCAAAATAGTCCATTCAGTTGCCTACTGCAGGCTAAAAATTAAACTATCACTTAAATCTAATTTTAAATTTTTGTTTAAATCAAAATTTACCTCTGCATAAAAGATGCAATTATCTGGAGCCATTATAATCAGTTTTGAAGCATCTCAAACACTTACGGTTACAGTTACATTTTTTTTAATAAATTATATGTGTTATTTCTGAGAAGAAGTCATTTAAAACAACTGCAGACAATATATTGTATGCCAAGTAGCACACTAAAATATGAGTAAGGCAATCACCTGTTTCAGTGTTTTATCTGTTACAGCAATAACGCCACACAATTTAACTGCTTTTAGACAACGCAAGCGCTGTAAACATTCTACAAATATCCTCTCATCTCGCAGTTGTATTCCCGATAGGGAGAGTTCTGTAAGGGAGGTAGGAAGGGTCCACAGAGCTTCATTGCTGGGACTGTTGCATAAACTACTACAGAAAGAGAGATCTAGCTTCTCCAAACTTGTGCAGCCTATTGAGAACTGTAACAGGAACATGTAAATCTTCATTAGCCCATCTAATCTTGGACAAAATATAACAGGAAAAATCACTACATATTAGATGACGCCGTCTTATGATGGCGTCCAATTGAACAGATGGCCGACTGACAATCAAATCGATAAGTTGATAGCCAATCAGTAGTTAGAACTACTTCACACCTAAAAATAATATTATCTGAGATATTTCCCTTATACAATGAGGTGTAATTTGTGACAGTACTGAACAGTTTCTGAATCAAGAATTCTTACTTTGTCTAACAAATTTATTTGAATGATTATGAATGTTTACAATTACAAACAAGTTGTTGCGAGATATTTGCAATTCAGATACTCGTTTTCCTTTGTGCTAAGTATCTTTAAAACAAGAGCTGTCAAAGGAGACAAACTACCAACCTTCTGTTAGCTGGCTTCATGGCTTCATAGCTACCCAAAAAGACCCTGATTGAATTCTTAACCACAGCAGTGAGTGGCAAGTGATTTAAAGTCGGGGATCTTATCCAATGGGTCTCTGATTTAAAATTATGCAAACTTTCTTTGAATTAAAGAAACACAACAAACCTTTGTTAAAGCTTTTCCTGATAGTCTTGAGCTTCCATGCAAATTCAAACTGAAATGTGTATGAAAAAATTATAAAAATTTACATGATTTTGTTTGTATCGCTTAATCTTGGTCATATCAGGACTGATGGTTCTACTGACCAGCTTTCCTGGATAGCTAACAAGCAATTACCAAGTTTTCCACAATCCAATACTACTAATCCAATAATTGAGCCGCGTCACGACAAAACCAACATAGTGGGTTTGCGACCAGCATGGATCCAGAGCAGCCTGCGCAGTCTGATCAGGATCCATGCTGTTCGCTCTCAGTTTCTCTACTTGTAATAGAGTTGGTAAGCGAACAGCGAAGGCGCAGACTGGTCTGGATTCATGCTGGTCGCAAAACCCACTATGTTGGTTTTGTCTTGATGCGGCTCATATGATTTCTGAAACTCAATGTCTGAGATCAATTGTCACATAGAATTTCATCCTTCTAAAGTTATCATGTGAAAATCCATGGACAGACAACTGAAATGGGATAAGGGGCCATTTCTTTTGTTATTTAACCTGTCAAGTGAAGGGCTATCAGTGCCTTATTTTCTTATTATAGAATGAACTCTATTATTCTCTTTTGTTGTTTCCAGTTCAAGAACTCTTATTTATTTTCTGTCCGGCAGATAGTCAAACAGTCAGACAGACAGACAAACAGACAGATAATGCCATTCCATAATACATCTGGAAAGTCTTGGGCATTTAAAAAAGTGCTTTAATCAATTACAACTCAAAACAACTGAACTCAAATTATTATTAGCCTAAAAAAACCGGCTACTTTATCAAGTAAGCAAACTATCTCGAAAATTATACAAATGTAATAAAATGTTACCTTTTCATGTTAGGACAGCAGCATGATAATACTTCTAGACATTCGTCACACATTTGATTCAACTGAGCATCAAATATCTCCTGTTAACAAAGACAAAATACAATCACCATTGATAAATACATGTATCATTAATTCTGCTAGCAGGAACTGTATATAACCATGCAAGCCATGCAGACCATGATCAGCCAGCACATCCCTGCCATCAGATCATGGTCTGCACTGTTTGCTATTCAATCAGTACATAAACATGTATTTTCTAAATTTTCCCTCAGCCTTGTTTTTACCTACACTTTGATTATAAACTAAGCATTTCGTTTTGTTCCACAACTCCTTATCAAAATTTAAAGGTACTCCACTGAAAACAAAAGCCAGTTTATAAACTGCCACTAAACAAAAGTCAAAAATTTTGAAATAGATAATTTGGGGCATTTAAAACGAAAAATATGCCAAAGTAAATACAGAAATATACACATATTTAAATAAAAGTCCATTTTTTTGTGACATTCTTAGCAAAATTTGAATTTGAAGCATTTAAATGCTTTTAATTTTTTTAGTCATTTTAAACCATGACAAGAGCACTGCATACAGTATTAATGCTAGTCTGTTAATTCTAAGTTATAAAGGGGCATAACTCCAAAAATATTGTTTTTAAAATTATGCCCCTTGATTAACAACTGTATTTTGTCATTATAAAAATAGTATTCAAAGTTTCATGTTGAGAACTTTTAAAATGTTTGAATAATGGGCTACATTATACATTTTTGACGCCATTGCATGCATAACAGCTTGATTTTTATTTTGAAACAGACCAGCTAAAAAATATCATTCTGGAAAAAAGAGTGGGAAAAAAGAGTAAGTTAATGATCTTAAATTTTGAACACAAGTTATCGGTCCAGACCGACAGCCAATAGTAAACAAATCTGGAAAGATATATTTCTAGTCCCGTCTTTAAAAAAAAAATATTTAAAGGGACACTACTTAGGAAAAAGGATGTACCAAATTATGTCCAAGATTGTGTGCAATTTTGACGATGCTGCCATGTTTGTCCTGAGTGTGCTCCAAACTTTTATTATTGATAGCCTTATTTCCTTTTATTTCATTTACACCTGACACTGTCAGCTCTCCAATGGTAGGATTTCTTTCACACATTTTCTGCACACCTGTATAAAAAAGACAAAATTAAATTTGATTTAGTCTACAAATAACTATATATTTTAAAAGGTATGTAAACATTCTAGTATTGAAATTTATCCCCAAAAAATAACAAAAAATTTAATTTATTTGGCTTTATATTCATATCATCAGCTGTAATATATTTGCATAATGGTTAATAAATATTCTGGTCGAGTATCATAGTACTCGAATAATCACAAATCAAAATGAAAATTTGAGTATGAATATTCGTCAGTCCAGAGATCGTGGATCGCGATCTTATTTCTTAATACTATATGCATAAACTGTTTTTCACACTCTAAAAGTCGAACAAATTTGAGTATGAACTATGTGACATTTACTTAAATACAAAATGCCGATTTAAGACAAACAATTACGGTAACCATGATACTAAGCTAGGAAGTGATAAGTTTCGAAAAAGAATTCACTTTATCTTTATTGAGCACTATGTTTTTACACAAAAATTAAATAAATATTTTTAGTAGCTATATATAGATTTATGAATGTGGCATGTATCTAAGATGGTTTTATCTTTAATTATCCAAAATTTCTGAAACTCAAGTTAATATGTTAGTGTGCAATCACACATCCTGTCTGCAACAATGGCTGAAAAGGAGTCGCGCTGATATAAAATTCCACCTGCAAAGTTTACTTCCAATGTTTGGAAACACTTTGGTATTTCAATTGAAAATGAGAAAATTGCATATTTGTTTATTGTTTGGCATTGTTTAATATTGTTTAAAGAAAAGTAACCATGCTTTAAGAACCAATGTGTTCATGTTTTTATGGGTGTCTTGATAACAAAAGATTCATGGTTCGATTTGTGAATCGTAAGTGCTGAATCTTGGATCTGATAGGATCGTCACTTACCCGACAATCCACACACCTATTGGTACATATGTATATAATTATTTTCACTTGTAAAATCCATGTTGGGCTTGAACTGCTGGTCTCACTACTGTGAAATATGATAGTATACTAAGGCCATCCTTAAAAAAATGTTTGTTTGCAGTAGCGCGACCGACTCACAAAATTTGCCCCTACTCAAAATTTTTTTTCATGGTCTGGATAAAATTTTTTTTTTTTTGAATCAGAAAATTATGCCTTGTGCTTTGTTTTCGTTCTTTTAAAGGTTAATAGAAGAAATACAAGAGCTGTCAGAAGGACAGCGCGCTCGACTTTTTTAGTGCTTGCCTATAAAACAAAACTTTGACAGTTAAGGGCACACAAGACTTTAACTAGGAATTTCTAAGTACAAATCAAGAAACATTTTCACAGAGTTATCTTCTCTTGCTTACAGATAGGTCTCATGATGGCACATAAGAACTCCAACTTCCAAAGTAATATCTCAAATGGTTAAGTCAACAAGTGGACAAGAATGAAAATCTTAACTGAGTTTCTAAGTCAAAAAGGGCCATAATTCAAATAAAATCCTTAACAGAATTACCTTCTCCTGCCCATGTTTTGGGACCATGATGGTAAACAAGTATTCCAACTTTCAAATTAATATCTCAAACAGTTCAGTCAAAAAGTGGACTGGTACTAAAAACTTAACCAAGATTCTAAGTCGATAAAAGGCCTTAATTTTTAAAACAAATCCTTGACAGAGTTACCTTCTCTTGCGTACAGATGGGGGTAATGATGTGAAATAGCATTAAAAGTTTCAAAGCAATATCTCAAAGGGTTAAGGCAATAAGTGGATTTTACCCATATTCAATGTATTTTCTAAGTCAAAAAGGGGCATAATTCTGTCAAAAACCTTGACAGAGTTATGTCCTCTTGTCTGTTGATGAAGGTCGTGATGGTAAACAAGTATGGTCAGTTTCAAAGCAATACCTCCAATGGTTTTGAAATAAAGTGAGGTGGTACAAAAAACTTAACCAAGCTCAATACACTTTCTAAGTCAAAAAAGGGCCATAATTCTGTCAAAAACCTTGACAGAGTTATGTACTCTTGTCTGTAGATGGAGGTTATGATGGTGAACAAGTATGGTAAGTTTCAAAGCCATACTTGTAATACTTCTGAAATAAAGTGGGGTGGTACGAAAAACTTAACCAAGGTGTGACGCCAACGCCGACGCTAACGCCGACGCTAACGCCGACGCCGACGCCGGGGCGAGTAGGATAGCTCCCCTTTTCATAGAAAAGTCGAGCTAAAAATGTAGGTCTTATTAAATTAGTATTCAGTTATCAATTTATTAATTGTTACCAGATTATCAAAGCATATATTGTCCAGCATTTTGAAATTCCATGTTTATTTGGGAGTACAGTTCAATAAAAAAAAAAAAATTGACCTACCTACCCACCTTGAAAATTCTGGGTCGGGTTACTGCAAACAAACATTTTATTAAGGATGGCCTAAGCCGAGAGCATCAAGATCAGTAACTCATGTCATACTATGTTGATATCAAGAAAGACAACATACTAGCTTCATACAAGCGTAATCATTAAACACCAAAAAAACCCCCAAAAGACTGTGTGTACACTGCAGAAATCAAATGTAACATTTTAATAAGGGGTGGGGTGCAGGGCGGGGCACAGCTCCTTCCAGCTTTCCAAGTGGAGGAAGAGCTTTGTGCCTTATTTTAGACATGAGCAGGCAGCAGAGTAGAACAACCGACATACATTAAATGGTTACAAACACATGGTTGCATGTTTATATTTATTTAGCTATTTTATTATGGAAATACTAAGTATGTGGTGATTATATGACAAATACTTGATAACATATATTCATGTTATCAGTTTAGTAACATACCTTCATCTAGAGAAAATAAACTACAGTCAATAAGCATTCAACTTACCTTCAAATGTCAGTTTCGCACAGTCTTTGAGATCAACACATTTTAGTTTTGGTGACATCAAACAATTAAGACTAGCATCTGTTAATAACTTTAATTTCCTGAACTTAACAGATACTAGTTCGTCTTGGTTTCTTGTACAGCATTGTATGCCTTTATCTAAATATAAACAGAAGGAGATTATTTAAAAGTATAAAGCTAATTTATTATACATGTATACTTATAAATGACTGATGAAATAAAATGTGTTTTTTTTCATTTTCCATTAATTTACTGTAAAAATATATATTTCACTGCAGTGAAACAAATTTTCCATATTTTCACTGAGGTCTTGATGGACTACTTTCTCTAAATTCAGCGAGTACACAAAATTTAAGGGGAAGTCTTTCAAATTGTAAAGAAAAATTAAAGATTTTTCTATAAATACTGGATTTATTTCCATTTTGTGGTATGAAAATTATCATATTTCACTTATGGCTATTGCCACTTGTGAAATATTTATTTTCATACCATTTGATGAATATAAATCCTGTATTTATAAGAAAAACTTGAATATCCTCTTCTAGTCTATATATCTGCTTCCTGTTGTTTAAATTTTAAAAAGAACAATTCCAACTCGCACGATTGAAACTTCCAAATAGGTAAGATTAATTATGCATGCAATCTTTGCCTTAACTATTTAAATCTTACATCATTGTACTGTACATATATGTTTAATTAAGTCAAGTAAAACTGAATCATTTTAGGGGCAAATGTATTCATTTTAAAAATCAGTAATTACTTGCAGAATGCATCAATGTGCAGGCTGACAAAGGCTATTCACTTTCAGTTTCAGCAGGATAAGGGTTATCATTTCAAACTTAATATTTTATTTATCTTTGCATGTGTTTAAATTTTTTTTATACAATCCATGTGCTTTTATAATAACAAACATGTAGCAACAACTGACCTAGTTATGGGTGTCCATGGCCAAGCGGTTAAGGTCTTTGACTAGCCTACTATGACTTTAAATGACTTGCCCCTCACTGCTGTGGGTTCGAATCCTGACAAGGAGTCAAGGACTTTGGTGAGAAAGCTATCTGGACAGCTAGCTTACGGAATGTTGATAGGATAGTTCTACTCAGGTTTCTGTTCCTGCCTGAAATAATGCACAAAAGGGAACCGAAGGTCTTCCTCCACCAGTAAAGCTAAAAAGTCACCATGTGACCTATGACATAAAGCCAACAACAACAAAATAACTCACCTGTTACATCCTGACACTGATTCACTGTCAAATATTCTAGCTTGCATTTTGATGTCGCCAATAACTGTAGCACTGTGTCATTAACTTGCTCACATTTGTAGAAATTAATTCTTCTAAGAGATGATGAAAATAGCTGACGAGATATGTAAGGGAGGTAATCTGGAGAAATCATATCATGCCATGCCAAACGTTCAATTAACATTTCCTTGTACACTGTGGGAAGATAGAGTCCAATATCTGGCATCTTGTCCAATGAAACATGAATGACGTTTAGGCATATATCACTCAGCAATTTCACCATTTTCAAGGAATGTAGTTTATTTTAATTGACCTGGAAATAACAAAATGTCAAGTGCATAACATGTAGTTGACTTACAATGTACTGGCATTTATATATATTTTTTTTATACATACATGTATATAATGTAAATACAGCATACATGTATTGTAATAATTAGCAACGATAAATTTACAGCAGTTCAATTTAAGTGTCACTTTTATTCAGGTCCGGCAAAATCAATTGTCTGTATTGCCCAGGTTGTCCCACAGCCTGTACGGACAAGTGAAAATTTTCAAGAATTAACTATGTAAATATCATACGAACAAGTTAAAAAATGCTTCACTTAGAAACGGACAAGTAAGTCCAAACCAGATTTTGCCGGCCCTGTTATTAATAATGTACATAATGGTAAACAAAAAAATATAATTTCTGCTCAAGGCATTTGGAAATGACTATTTTCCTTGGATTAATTTGGCGTAATTAGTTTGATCATTCAATACATTTTACAGACTCTTTTTTCATACTGTCAAACAGGAAAAGACATTGGTCACTGTTGAGTACTGTTCACTATTTAGGGAAGAAGATGCGTAAGTGGCCGGATAGCTCAGTAGGTAGCGCTGTGCAAAGGTATTGCGAGGGTCCTGGGTTTGAGTCCAGGACTCTCGAGTCCTGGTCAGGCTGTACAATTTTCTCACCCTGTGACATTTGGTCAAATTGGTGCCCAATTAACTGGGGACAGTGACTGCATATACATAAATTACATTATGTAGCTAGCCTAAGAGTTTAGTTAGCATTGCTCTGTAACCATTTAAAAAATTTGAGAACGAATTTCAATATACCGGGGGAGTATGTCACGGTACAGAACTGTTCACTATTTAGGGGAAAAGATTTTTAAGCAGCCGGATTGCTCAGTTGGTAGAGCTGCGGGACCAGGGTTCGAGTCCCTGTCAGGCTGCACATCTTTTTCCCTCTGTGACACATTGCCCGTCAAAAATTATCTCAATTTTTTTTGACAAGTCTAATTAGTTGGACTAAAGTAAAGAAGGTATGGCTGATAAGATCTAAGAGTTAGAATACCATTAATAAGCATTTTGCTACAGCAAAGTTAATTTTAGTGGAAATATATTAGCTGATATTATTTCAGTTCCTTCTCAAATAGCAAAACTCAACTACAACCAGCTATTTGTGAAATAATGGATTCATAAGTTAACCAGTTATAACAAACATTCTCACTTTGTGGCATGAATTTAACATATTTGAGCAACGGGGCGATTTGTTACAGAGCGAATCGTTCTTTTTCGGCTTGCTAAATTTATAGTTTAATTGGAAGGATACATACCCTGTGATAGTCCAAACGAAACCAAATGTCCAATGTTGTCATTACATCTATTTATATCGGCAAATAGCTTTCTAAAAATAAACTTTTACTCATATTTCTAATCATAGATAAATTTTTACTCCTAGTCTTTGGAACGCTGTGAATTTTCAAGCCTTTCGGGTCAGACTCATCTTTAATGTTTCATCAAAGTGCTGAAAGCACTTTAAATGCGACAAGCAGGCACAGGACAAGCAGGCACAGCATAAATTTATGTATGTATACATGTATAATACAAAACGACAAGGAAATGAATGCCATATCCTTTTATATATAAATTCTTTCTTTTCTACCACAATTTTTGTTAAACATGTATATTTAGCAGAATACGGTAACTATTTCAGGGCTTCGTCTGAAGTTAAACATCGATATTTGTTATAAGCTTAGGGCATTCTTTCAATGTGAATGGAGCACACCATTACCAAAAAATTGTTCATCGGAAGATTTAAAGAAACAACTATGTCCTATCCTTTTGCTTTGTCACTTTGATTATTATTCATCTTCTTGGTATGAATTAAGGACTGCATAAGAAAGTCACTGACGCATAATTAAATTTCAAGTGCGTACGTGTAGCTCAAAATTAGGTGGTACTGTACAGGCGTTCTTGGACAAAAATATATTGGCCCTAGTCTCTCATGATCAGATGCGTTTTCTTAAGACTATACGCCGAAAACAAATAAATTAAGTTATGTCTGATCTTAAAATATTGAATGTCAATGATTTGGGTTAGGCAGGTAAGTCTTATAACCACATTCATATATAAAGTAAATTATTAAAAATCTGTTTTATTGAAAGAATACTGCAGCATTTTGAGTTGATATAAACAGCTAATTATAAAAACAGCGACACGAATTAGTATAATACGGGCTCCAGACTTATCTGCAATTATAAAGAACGAGTGTCTCATGCAGTCTAAGGTTATTCCTCTTGGATTTGGCGATAATTTTATGACTTTTTGTACAAGAAAGATTGTTTAAAATCCAGTTAATTGCCTTAAACATGTTAATATACTTTCTCTTAAAAATTAATCGAAAAAAAAAATTGGATTGCGGAGTTGACTCAAACAGACTGGAGTTCTTGCCCTTTTTTTCTGTGTCATTTTGATATAATTCTTCATCTTCTTGGTTTTTAACATGTTTATGTTGTATTCGATAATGTATAAATTTAAATGTATTATTTTATACGGAATTTATTTCAGTTTGTTTGTGTACTATGTATATGTCTGTTTATACAGACAAAAGTGTCTTGATTGTTGTACAATGTTTGCAAGAGTTTTCATATATCTTACCTCCTTTATAATTCATTCATTTTTATTGTTAGTGTGATAATATTACAGTAAATGGACCCCATTGGAAATAAGCTTTTAGCTTCATATAGAGTATCCTAGGGTACCATAAAACATTTTGCTTGTTTTATAATTATAGGTTCATTTGTTTTTTGTTTGTTCAATATGCATGCTGATATATGTGGCAATATATAGTATGTGTAAAGGTTTTAATTTCTGAATAATTCGATACGATTATCTTTATATACCATCAATCTGGGATCGAAGACAGTTATAGCTTACGTCTTCCCAGCCTCGATCGACGTATCTGTAAGTTTACCGGAAATTGGTGAAAAAGTAAAGATTATTTTAGAATTTGACAGTCTGGATCCTGTTCAAACTGCCGCAGCGGTTACTTCCCTCGTTCAGTACGTACAGGTTAAAGTAGCAAAGCGTAACGTAATGGATCCCGTTAGTACTATTGAACGGAGAGAAAAGGGCAGGTAATCTAGACTATCCTATTCCCAATCGGAACACCTCGGGCGACTTCAAGAATTCGCGAACTTGACGGAAATTGCCGAGTTGTTACGATTGTCCTATTCCTATACCTTTTGTTATGTGACCGACGCATGCGCAGAAGTCAGGAAATATAATGCCTCAATGTCAATCGGACATTTATGAACGTGCAAACACCAATCTGACCAAAAGTTCAAGATAAGGTTTAAATAAAGTCCTTTTCAACGTATTTAGAAATAACATTATCGTTAATCATTTAAATAGCCAAATTAATGCACCCTTTTACCACCACGGTGACCATCCCATCTCCAATATCTTTAAGTGTCGTAAACTTTTGTTTTTGAGATTACCCATGTTTCATCCTGAGTTACGATCCGGTAGATAAAATCAGGTTCATCCTCGTAGTGAGACAACAGGTATCTTGAAATGCCAAGCCTGGTCCGTATCAGTCAACTGTCTATATAGGGACCCATCTAGCGGAAACCTTTGACATGCCATAGACATCAGTCAGAATTGCCTGAACTGAATCAAAGCTAATACCCACTCCCCTAGCAATGCTTTGGAGGTTGCACCTTCTGTTGCACATGACCAGATCGGGTACAGCTTCGGCAGTGTCATCGTTGGTGGCCTCTAATTGCCGCACAGGCCAATCATCATCTCCAATGCTCTCCCTGTCCCTCTTAAATTCAGCAGACAATTTTTTCACAGTGCTATAGGAAAGGGACTCCTTCCCAAGTGTATCCATGAAGTTTTCATTGATTTCCTTGGGGGACATCCCTTTCTAACAGAGGTACTTAATGACGGCTCTGATTTCAACTTTCTTCATTTGGTCTAAATGACACACCCCTCTACTGATCAAAGTGTGTTTTATATGTTACTTAATCTATGTAAATCCGCGTGTAACTCGGTCAGTAATCTTACATAAGATATCGGTATCGACGTATCGTGTGTAAATGTCAGTGTAGTGGCTAGAAGTATGTCGGGCCGAGAACTTTTTGATCACACCTCGATCGTACATTGTATTTTTTTTCCAATACAAATGTCCAGTAAAAAATGCCGATCAATTTTATCCACACAATTTTCCGTAAACTTTTATCAATTTATACTTCGCAAAAACAGGTACCATGTGACAGCTGTCAATCGTTGCCAGTGTTGTTATATTTTTCTGGTCCTTTTTTTCTGGATTATTGATTCCAGCACGTTAGTGGTGCAGATTATATACCGCTTAAGCCGGTGCTAGGGGGCATGAGGGATGTTGCACTGGTCGTTTAATTATCACCCATGAACATACTCAATTAAACCGTGTTTGCAAATTTTATATTTATAATACGGTTTCACCCCTCATATGTAAGAATGAGTAAACTTAAGGTCCTCTCTTCTAAATGCATGGTGACTTCTGTTCTATTTTTCAGGTACATTTTTAAACATGCAAATTCTTAAATCTTTTTAAAATATTTTTTTTTCGGAATCGAAAACACACATTTTCTTTACATTTTTATTCGATATCAATAAGTAAAAATATGGAGAAAAAAAATAATGCATTGCCCGACCAGTAAGAATTATGATTTCAAACAACTGGTTTTGTAATATAAGTTTTTTTCTTATAAAATGTTTAAATGAATTTTTTTTCATAACTTGCCTGTGTGGTGTTAAATTTGGCTTACCTATGTTTCCCGCGCGCTTCAAGTCATTCCTTATGCTGTAGAGTTTGTTTTTACCCGTAGCAGATTTCTTTTACCATGGTGTCCATTTTCAGAATGGTTGGAGATTACAGTTAAGAAGTATAAAGAGTTTTACTCCAACATTGCTTCAGGACGCCAATCAGTAAATTGCTTATATATAGTCACTGGACACCGTGCATGCTTTTCAAGAATTTCATAAGCTCTTGACTTTTTTTTTCAAGTGTCGCGAGGATCAGCTCTAGTCCTAGTTTTGGTTTGGCGCTGCTGGCTGAACACGAGATATTCGGAACCATCACGCATTCAAAGGTATCAAAGATCAAGTTTTTCAAATGCTCTATAGCATTCAATGGTAATTATCTTAATGTAAACCAATATGGCTTCTCCATAAACAAAGATCACGTTTTTCAAATGTATAACAGGTGTTAAAATCCAAGACGAAGCACATAAAGTCACAAGGAAAAGGCAACAACCAAAATGCTGCTGCTACTGCTGCTGCTACATCTGGTATTATAGAGAAATTCTATGAAGCAAAACGTAATGTAAAATACATGTATAATTTATGTAAGAATGAGGAAGCTTTATTCGATTTCTTTATGTGCGATTTTAGCCCGATTTAATTAAAGTGGATAAACCTGTATACAATGGCCACATTTTCCATAAGTATTTCAAATATTGATGAAACCAATAGACGGAGGTTTAACTGAGGTTTTCTTCCACCAGGAAAGCTTGGACGTCGCCATATGTCCTCAACAGTGTTTGTGTGCCGCTTAAAACCCAACCAGGATAAGTAATAGTGACTACTCTAGGTTTATACAGAATTTATTTTAATTCGATTGTGTAGGAAGCTATAAGCTTATAGACACACTTTCGAATCCGTTCCTGGAACCAACCAGTACTGAGCAATGAGTGTAAAGTTTCATGCTCAAGGAAACAACGACTTGCCCCTGATGTGTGTATAGTTACACGAATAAATAAACATTTATATACCACATAAGAAAAGGTTTACAAAAGAAGAATAACACTGTAATTTTTATATAAGATAATTTATTAACAAATCACTGGAACAATAAATATTTTCATTTTTTTTGGAGATTTTTTTTGTGTTGACATTAACGTATAAAGGTTTCTTTGCATATAAAGGAACAGCACTTGAAATAATACACATTTTACTGTGAGCAACATTTTCAACATTTTCATTAAATTTTAAGTATTTCTTTCATGTATAAGCGGTTTTAAAGTTTAAATATGAGAAAACTAACCAGTGAGACCGATTCTTTATTCAGACAAAAAGATATGAAAATAAAATCTGAGCGAAAGGTATTCTGAGGGAAAGGAACATTTGATAAACAACAGAAAGATCATTACATGCACCTGGTGAAACACCTCGTTGATTCAACAATATGTAAAACAATCAATGTTAAGCTAAAGACTTATATTATTTTAACTTGATTGATTAGAAAATATGGTTTGCAATTTATGAAGGAAATAATCCTTGATGAAAGATTGAGCAAAAAGTTTATTAAAACTTTGCATTTTATTTCACCATAAAGTGAACAAAAGAGACACTGAAATAAAATAAGGTTATATATGTACATGTATATATGGCACATATTGTAAGTTTTTCTATAAATATAATATGTCTAT